CAAAAACACTTCATAATGACATAAGTTAGGAAAGCGAATTGCTAAGCCAGAACGGGTACGGCTGAATTATTATGGTCTGTTTCCCGACGAAGGCAAATGCGCGCATAGAAGAAGCGCACGCGAGCGCGTCGCTCGGCAGGATAGGTCTCAAGTTCCTGTATCTCCTGCGTATGTTGAGAAATAAGGCTGTTTTATCTTACATCATTTACCGTTTTCGAGTCCATGTTCTTTGTTCTGAATATCCCTATGGGTATGTCGGCAACTGAAGAGCAGAGTTTTTGATATAATCTTCCATAGGTTTGAATCCAAAGGTCATCCGCAGTCACGGTAAACTGGAGTAGAATAAGTTTTATTTCAATCGTAACATAGTATCATCAATTACCGATGTCAGATATCCACTGCCAGCGGTCTGATCGATGCCTAACAGTAATCGCGTCAGAGTAACGACATAAGGTTTGATTATTGCCTGGATTGTTTATTGCATAATAATTGGCACGTAGTTCATTTATCTAACCTGGTAAAGTAATCTATCCAGCATATTTGCACTGAACACACCACCTTGAGCAAACGGCAATCGAAACATGAATGGCATATGAGATCCTCGCTTTCGTTCTTTCTGAAAAGTCAATAGTCGCTTATAAGCTCTATCCAGCCATCTGTTCTTATTATTTTGCTAAAGTGACACAGTAAGCTCAGTTTGGGCCTTACCTTTTCGAATCTGGATTGCGCGAGAGAGTATGGACTATTGGCGTCGAACTGTACGAAGCGCATGTTGCTGGCGTGAGTTAGTTCCGTAATCATGCGAAGACGGGGGAACATCCTAAATGATATTTGGGTGACACTTCCATTCCGAATGTTTCAAAGTGTTGTTGCTCGAAAACTTATCTTAACCTTCCTTTCATACTAATTAAAATTGTTTATATGCTGAAATTAGGGCCAACACGGTTATCAATTTCAACTATGACGAAGCAGATTCAGTTGGACAATAGAACCTATTCTACGTTTTTCCCAGTTTGATGTTTCAAGTTCAGTTCCATGGGCAAGCCTACTATTTCTTAAGATCATGTAAGTAATTCGATTAATTGCAAATAGACAGAATAATTTCTAGTCGCGAATTACCTTTCGGAAAAAGTTGCCAAAAACCAGGAAATTTTAAGGATTTTTTTCGCAGGTACCGCCATCATTCCATTCCAAA